GAGCATGAGAATATGCTGTGGCTGCTGATCAGAAGGTCATGAGTTCAAACCTCAGCACCGCCAAGCTGCCACTGTTGGGCCCTTGAGCAAGGCCCTTAACCCTCAACTGCTCAGATGTATAAATGACATGCATGTAAGTCGCTCTGGATAAAGGCGTCTGCCAAATGCTGTAAAAAATGATAGAATAAGTGACAGATGCTTTCTCGCTTCACTAATATCTCTGAACACAGCACAAGGTCACTGTCACTTGTTCCTCTTAGTCTCTGTTGTCAGTATGTCCAAATCCATGCCCAGTTTTTAGACTTTCATGAGATGGGTCCTGACCAGCTGAAAAATGGGTGAGCTGATTAACAGAAAGATTCTACAGAGGTTTGTGTTTAATGTGAGCAAGATCTTGCAAAATAGTCACAATATGCAATTCAATATGCAATATGCACGTCTCCAAATTGTTTTTTATAGTCTAGACAGTTGATAACTGAGGTTTTCCTACAGAAGTCGAAGTTAATATAAACACTGTTTGAAACGGATTTTGTGTCATTTTCAGATTTCAGCTTTCCCTCAGTGGCAGTGTGTCAATCAATATGAACTAAAGGAAGAATTGATTAGCTGGAGGGGTGTTAGCTGGGTTCTTTCTCTCAAGCACTATTCCACTTACCAACTTCCTAGTTTCACTTCCTCTTTCCTCTTTTTCCTTCTCTTTCTTCTTATGGCCTCCTTACTCCCTGGACATTTGAACCATATCTATCAATATCTCCCTCTCTCTCCCTCTCTCTCCCTCTCTCTCTCTGTGTGAGAGTATGACATTATAACCAATATAACCATGACAACTTTCATATCTTCCCCCTCTCTCGCTCTCTCTCTCTCTCTCTCTCTCTCTCCATCCCTCCCTCCCTCTCTCCTGTCAGATATGTTGTGTCTTCTGAGAAATGAGCTGTCAGGGTCCACAATGCCCTCAGCTCTTTAACGTTTGCATCAGCCAGTGTGTGAGACATGAAGAGAAACCCACAAATAATAAAGGGCAGATGAAAATGAGAAAAAAGATTAGATCTAGAGGGCGGTGGGGAAGAAAAGGACACGAAGTTTCACTTGAAGACAAATAATGGAGATGGATGGCGAAAGGCAAATCAATGACAAGTCAGCGTTCTCTCTTTCAGAAACTGAAGGAGTTCCTAGAGGGCAGGAACCTCATTACCAAACTGCAGGCCAAGCATGACCTTATCCAGAAGACCCTGGGAGAGAGTAAGTGATCTAACTGTATGTGTGTGTACATGTACAGTAAAGTCTAGAGTACATTATCAGCAATTTTAATTGTTATTGATCACAAATGAATATAAAAACGTTTTACATAACATAAATACATTTATATAAAGTTCACAAAATTTAAAACTGAGAAAACTTCATCTTTATAGTCCTCATTTTTATGATCAAGCAATACAATCCTGTGTAGAGTAGTGAACGTGTGAAAAATGTTAATTTATTGTTCGATAAACAATGTGTGCACGTTCTTTCAATTTTATTGAGAAATCACAATTAAACATGTGACATCATAAAATGCAACGGCCAATCACGTTGCATTATGCAAATGTAGACCATGCAAGCCAATTAGCCAATTAACCAATTAACCAGGAGAAGGACATGGATCCTAAAGCGTTCATAGAATGCATGACCGTAGAAATTTTAAAACTGCCCTTTTACAAATGAAAACTTGATCTCTACTTCATTAGTATTGTTATTACTGTCTGCAGAAATGAACAGACACAACAAGGCGTGCTCTTATAGGAAAATAAGAATATACCAATATATGAAAAATATAAATATAAGAAAAAACGCCACCACCCCAATGGTGATTATTTTCTATTAACAGTGCATCCTGAAGTGTTTTGTTCCTCTTATACCAAAGCAGTCTGACACAATTTTTCATCTATTATTAAACCACAGGTCATGCCACATGGTCATGTTTTATACATTTATACAATTTATACTAATTTATCCAATTAGTAACAGCTGTAAACAGGCATTTCTCTTTTGAAGTTGATGGGCCAAAAAATTTTTTTTAATTACAGAGAAACCAGAAAAGACCCCAAAGTCTCCTCCATGTCGGGAAACTTGCCGACTGACAATGGAGACTCCTTCTATACTGTAAATGTTAAATAAATAAACATCTCTTACAGAAAATGTCACCATATCAACGATTACAAAGTTTTACTTGTTAAATAGCATGTTTTTTAATTCACTTAAAATTAGACTTGTTTTATAGTGGAACACTCATGATACAACTCCCTGTGAAAGAGTTGGTACTATAGAAGTGATGTATACATATACGTTATTATATTAGCTAATATAAACCTTGCAGCCAGCACTAGTGTCAGAGTCATTAGAGAAAGAGTCGATACTTCCGGACCAATCAGAATCGAGAATTCAAAAGCGCTGCGCTATAACCGATGTTCGTGAAGAGCAATATTATTTGTTCGATGCCATTGATGGCATCAATTATGCGATTATGCTAATATGTTATTTTTATATGGTAATATGCGATGGCATACTAACATGCGATTTTTCTAAAACATTTTAGAATGTTTCTCAAATTTATTCTGCATGGTTGATTGCAAATAGGTGTCCCAAAAGTGTATCAAGGTTTAAGTAAGAGTAGAAGGGGCTGTTGAGAACAATAAACTAACACGCAAGTACAATGTTTTTTATTTTTATTTTTTTAAATCTACTGTTTTACTAATACATGCCATACTTCTAAGGTTTTCAGTCGACTCCCCCTCACATCATTTGGCAAAATCAGATTAAGCTTCAATAAGTGCTGCAATAAAAGCAGTTCTTGGTAGCGGACTCAGACTTTTGGACGCTGTTCTCCAGTATGTGTATGTTAATATGAAATAGTGAGGGAGGTAGAGAGAAAGAAGGGAGTGAGAGAATAGTAAGATATTTGAGGCGAGGCAGATTTCATCTCCTGTCTCTCTGTTTTTCTGTCTCACCTCCCACTCTCATTCTTCCAGTCCTACCGAGTCAGCAGGGAGGATTTGTGATAGCTTGGACTGGAACAGATGGAAAAGACAGAAAATAAAAAAAACAAAGCCTCATTCGCACTGTTATGATCCTCCAGTGTGTAGCACAACACAGCAGTGTATTCCTTACGGCTACACGAGTGGAGATGCTAATGATGGCCATTATGTGCGAGCTTGTTGTGGAATCAGGAGTGTAGTCTACTGTGAGAGAGATGCTCGGTTACTCGCTGAATTAGACCCTGAAGATGCTGCAGTGCATGCTGGGGGATCGGTATATACAGTTAAAGCATGTTCTTTTCGACTTGGTTGCACCTGTGTGTATTGAAGTGTTCTAATTTAGGAGGAAGCTAGCTCATCATGGCGTAACTAAATTGTGCCTGTGTGTGTTACTTAGTATCCATTCTGCATCAAGGGGGGGGTAAGGGCACACATGTGTACGTCTCTGCGGGGGTTAGCATTTTCTCCTAAAGATGATGTGGATCCAAAAGCAGGAACCCTGCAGGGGAGAGAAGAGTGAGATCAGCCTCTTCTGCTCCATTCATCTCTCTCTCTCTCTCTCTCTCTCTCTCTCTCCCCCTCTCACCCATCCTCTCTCTCTCCCTCCAGGTCAGAAGACTGACTATTGCCTTGCCAGGTAGGTGTGGCGCACGCATACTAATGAATCTCAGAAGTCACATAATATCAGCCAGATGCTTTCTTTTGATGTCTAGTTTATATCTTAAATATCTCGTCTAGACGTAATCATGATTTATTTAAAGCAGCTGATTTATTCATTATGGAACAGGGAAATAGGACAAGGCCACACAGCAGCCCTTTTTTTTTTTTTTTGCATTAGCCTCTGGTTTGTGGCTCTTTGCGGGTGTGTGTGTGTGTGTGTGTGTGTGTTTGTAAAAATAGGGCTCTCTCTAGAGGATAATTTGTAGTGGTTAAGGGCTATAGATGCGTGTGTGTGTATGTGTGTGTGTAGCAAAATGGGAGCAGCTTGGCGTGAAAATGATCATCATCCGTCTCTGTCTCTCTCTTTCTCCTGAATGTCAGCGGACGGAGGAACTCGACCGAAAGAAAACAGGTAACATCCGATTCCCTGTGTGTGTGTGTGCATGTGTTTGTGTGAGCTCCTCAGCCAATCACAGTTCCCCACGAGCCCATTTTCTCCACCCGTGCTTTCTTTTCCTAATGTGCCTCATACTAATCCTTGCTGTTCCTTTCCAATCCAAAACACATACTGTTACACCTCCTGTACCACTGGGTATTGCTTGTTCCTAAAGCCTGGAATTAAATCCCCACAGACACACGAGTGTAATTCCAAACGTATTCTCCATACGCTAGCTCCTTGACTGTAATCATCACTACATCTTGAAGGATTTATTTTGCGCCTTCTTTTTTTCCACTTAAAGTCTGCCTCTTTATTCTAACCCAAACCGGAGAAGAAGCAAACAAAAGAAATGCACAAAATCTCCCATATGTGTGTTTTATCTGTATAGCTCAATGTCCATGTCGCCCCCTAGGGATGAGATGAATACATTACACTCTAGACCGCAAAAAAGTCAGTGCCTACATAGTGTCAATACATAATCGTTTTCATTCACACAGTCAAGAAAAGGATCTAAACAGCCTTGGACAGCAGATAATTGAAAAGGATTATGTTACAACACAGAGGATTTGGTTTTTAATAGGTGAGCTCACCTTTGCCTTGGTGAATGTGACGGTCACACAAATGCGGAGTTTTGTAGCTGTATATTGTGACAGTACCAAATAAAAAACGTAAAAAAAATTAAGGGATAAACCACTATCAAGAGTATTCGTCAGATTCTGATGAACAATTATTTTGGTGTAATTGGTGTAATTCTGACCCTTACTAGACAATCAAAAGAAACCGATAAGCAGAAGGCTTGAATCCCTCGCTCTCATCTAAAATCCAAAACTTCAGAGAAACTCATCAATATGTTTCCTTCGGCACTAGCTGGCTAACTTGAGGTCTCTAACCGCGGTGGCTCAACGGTTAAGGCTCTGGGTTACTGATCCAGAAAGGTCACGGGTTCAAGCCCCAGCACCGCCAAGCTGCCACTGTTGGGCCCTTGAGCAAGGCCCTTAACCCTCTCTGCTCCAGGGGCGCTGTATCACGGCTGACCCTGCACTCTGACCCCAACTTCCTAACAAGCTGGGATATCTGAAGAAAAGAATTTCACTGTGCTGTGAGGTATATGTGATTTTAAAAAATTCTGCTTCTTTCTTCTAAATTTCACTACTGGGTAATGATGCAAACTCCAAACTAGTATAGTATATAATATAGTTTATCATCTAGAATTCAGTAGCTCCCAGAAAAAAAAGAAGAAAATCCAAGGATATAGCCAAGACACCAGTCTTTCATGCTCTCACTCTACACAGCGAAATCTAACAGTCACACTCTCCTCTCTCTCCTGATTGGCTGCCAGTCACCACATATTGTGAATACTTTCATGCCTGAAGTTGGGACATAATGATGCTTCATATATCTGAGCTGGCATGTGATGTACCTCGTATAGTGGAACATTTTCCGTCAAATCTTTGACACCCGACACCTTTGAAACAGTGCAGACTGTGAATTACTGCTTGTCAAGGTGACTCTCGGCAGGTCAGGAACATCTTATCTTAGATTGTCATGACTCAAACATCTTTCATTCAGGGACCCCGAATGCACAATAGTTGCCCAGATCTAATCTGTAGTATAGAGCAAAGCCACAAAAGAGCACTGTTGCCACATATTCCCTGCAGTTTAGTACCTTTCAGAAATGATTGGCTGTCTATGCGTACAGTATGTGCCTACATTAAAATCCATAAACTCTGACTGAATCGAGCCAGTGTGTGTATGAGTGTGTGTCTTGGCATGACCCCCACCGAGCCTAACGTGCCCCAAATTCCATCTCGATCAGCCATTTCCGCTTTGCCCAAACAAACAAAAGGAAGCTGTGAAAAGAAGCGGTCTCCTAGCAACCACCACGTTCAGTAGCCCCCTTTTTCCCCATGGATTCGGAGCATGCTGCTTTTTTCCCTTCCTGGTCTGAAACCTCTATCCCTGTACAAATATTATTACTCATTCAGTGCCCGGTTCTTCAACTGGATCCCTTGTTCAAATGATTTTTTTATTTATTTTTTTAACATTCTAGGTTTACAACCCCTCGCTTCTCTCCATTCTAACCACACTTGATTTTTTGTTCTTCTCAATTGATTCAGGAATCCGCTCAGGTCATACCGCTGATCGTGGAGAGCTGCATTCGCTTCATCAGCCGACACGGTAATCTCTCTCTCCTTTCTCATGGTCTTGCTCTTGGCCGTAAGCCCTGCAGCTCCTGTTCCTCTCCCTGTCCAAGTGAACAAAATGTTCACTACGGTTCATTAATCACTATGTCTGCTCTGTGTAGCAGAACCATTTAATACTGTAGCTCATAAATTTTCATTTATAACAGTGCAATAAAATGTGGTTTGGTTTTGATACACAGTCTTGATCATCCCTTAATCAATCTTTCTGAAATGAAGTGCAGTTCAAGCTCCGGAAGGATTATCAAAGACATGAACACACTAGTGAAGTGAAGAAGGTCTTTGAGGATTTCCTGTGTTTTCTTACTTGAAAAGGCGACATAAAGTGATGTCACTTTGTCCGCAGGCCTGCACCATGAGGGTATTTTCCGAGTGTCTGGCTCACAAGTGGAGGTCAATGACATTAAGAACGCATTTGAGAGGGGTAAGATGATCTAATCCAATGCTCTTCCATCCCTTAATTTTCTGTAGCTCTCAGCATTATGAAATGGATGACTCACTATATTCAGTTGCCAAAATGAATCTCTTTTACTTTGTCTGTTCTCTCTCTCTCTCTCTCTCTCTCTCTCTCTCTCTCTCTCTGTCGCTTTTGCTCTTTGTCAGGTGAGGATCCTCTGGCTGGAGATCAGAATGATCACGACATGGACTCCATTGCAGGCGTCCTCAAACTCTACTTCAGAGGCTTGGAACACGCCCTCTTCCCAAAGGAGGTCTTCCATGACCTCATGGCCTGCGTCTGTGAGTGTGCACTTTACCCCACCCCCCCACCCCTTTCACTTCCTCACACTACACATAAATCTCACTGCTAGGATACTATTCAATTATCCATAATATTTATATTTACTAATGAACAAAGAAATCCACACTGAAATGTTTAAGATCCTATGTACCTCTTATAGTCACCTTACTTAAGTCTATTGATAAACATTTCTCCTAATAGACATAGGAGAAGGGCTTGGAATTAATGCATACTATTTTTAAAAGTTTAGAAAATGTAACAGTTTACAAAAAGGCTTTATGGTGAACACTATGCTGGTTCTACAGTGTCTACACTATTATTTATATATCGTATGTAGTGAGCACATATAGTGCACGGGAAGCCACTTAGGGCTGTGTTAATATGATTTGACGCATTGTTTGTAGTTGAAGAAATTTTTTTTACATGGATCTTGGGTAGCCTAAGAGATGTTCAATCTAGACACCATCAGGCAAGAGACATGACTATGGAGAATACAAATAAAATTAAAGCATAACATTTTATGATAAAGATTTAGGCTTTTTTAATAGTATGTAATTGGGGGTAGGGCTGGGGGTGCATGGTGGCTTACCCTTAGTGGTCAGCCCATTTGCCTCAAATCTCTGCATTCGAGGGTTCGATTCACACCTCTGCCCTATATGCGTAGAGTTTGCATGCTCTTCACAAACCAGATGTATTCCAGTTTCCTCCCCTACTTCAAATAAATGCGTTGTAGGCTGATTGGCATCTCTAAATTGTCTGTAGTGTGTGATTGGGTGTGTGAGTGTGTGTCCGATTGTGCCCAGAGTCCCCTGTGATAGGCTCCAGACACCCTATGTAGGATAAGGTGTGCAAAAAATGGATGGATGTATGAATGCAATAGTATATAGTGTATGAACAGTGTAGCAATAGTAATAATGTTCATAAATTTGAGGCGCTGTGAATCTCCAGAACTGTTAGATGCAGCTAGCTGATCATTCTAGCTAGCTAGTTTAGTGGGGTTTTTTTTGTTGTTGTTTTGTTTTGTTTGTTTGTTTTTCACCCAATCTGTCTACTCCATGTATTTTATTATCTAAAATGTGCATTTTATTCTCAAAATCGAGCCAGAAAGGCATAAACCGGATAAGACAGAGTTCGCAAATCCTCTCACCAAATATAACAATTGTTTAAATACAAAAATACAAAGAAAGTTAACTTGTTTGTTTTTTAGTCACTAGCCAGCTATCATGTGGTCTTGAGCAACTTTTTAGCTGGGCAATGTTGAATCTGACCATCATCTATTATTCACTTTCTTCAAACCAAAATAGAGAACAGTGAATGCCCTACATGCTGAGCACGAAAAAATCTAAAACTCCACAGTCATAAATCCATTTTCCACTTATGGTGTATTTTTCACTATCTGACTCCCAACTGCTTTGTTACTTTGTTGCTGTATTAAATAATAATAATAAAAAAATTTTTTTATTATTATTATTATTAAAATTATTACTTAAATCCATTTGATTACGAAATCGTTCATCAGCCTATTACATATGACAGACTTACTACACACTACTCATTTAATTTAGTTTGGAAAATAAGTGCACTGCAATATGGAGAAATATTGGTCTGTTTGAGCACTGTCTTATTAATGCTGTAAAAAATGACTGTCCTGAATGTGTCCCTGCAGCCATGGAGAATCTCCAGGATCGAGCTGCCCACATTCGCAAGGTCCTTCTGTCTCTTCCCAGCAACACCCTGGTCATCATGCGCTACCTGTTTGCGTTCCTCAACCAGTAAGTGCTTTCACTGATTTACGATTAGCTCTTGCTTCTGGTTAGTTGGAGCTGATCCTAGATCAGCACTGTCACAGATGTTTTATACATATGGGCCAGGTTCAAAAGCGGTAAGGGCTGCAGGGAGATTTGGCAAATGAGGTCACCATTCAGATGAGGTCTGCGGTTAATTTGTGATTTAGAGGCGAAGCTCGAGCCGGACTCCACTGAGATTGTTAAAAAGCTGTGAGCTTTTGCTTGGTGGACCAGAGTTAATCTTAGCTTCACTTTTCTAACACTAAACCTTATGTGCTTTATAATCTTACCGTTTTACAAGTATTTTTATTATACGGTATACTATCTGTTTTTTGTTTTGTTTTGTTTAAGGAATCCACATCCAAGGTGCCAACATCAGCTTTTTGTAATGCTTCCATTCCTGTCCCCTACTTTTCTATGTTCTGGGATATTTTTTTTCCTTTGTAGTCTTGCTTAATCTTAACGTATGACATTGCATTGCTTTTGCTCCAGCTGATGCATGTGTGTGCGGGAGTGTATGTGGTTTCCCCCGCTGACAAAAGCCATTCCAGGCCATATATCATATCCAGAGTGAGGGATAAAGAGAAAAAGAGAGTGGGATAAAGGGATAGAAGTATGGTGTTGCTTTCATGCAGCTAGTAATGTTTTCTCTCTGAAAGAGTGCTCTGTTTGCGTGACTATAATAGTCCAGTGACAGAATGGCTCTGTTAAGCTGCCTCTTTCTGTTGTAATATCTTTTCAACCTCGCTTACCTGTTGAAACATACATGCTTTTGTATCATTAGCACCACTATTATGTGATTTAAGTACACATAGTGTAATAGTATAATGTTGGACATGGTTAGAAGGTCAGAGGAGTGGTTGCCCAATAAAAATGCACGTTAAAGCATGTTTAAATTAAATTAAAAAGCAGTTCTCCAAATATATTTGTTTCTTTAGAACGTCGTCTGTTCATTCCGAAAAGCACACACACACATTGGCATTTGGGCTAATTACCCATACTGAAACCATAAACTCAGCGACCACTTTATTAGGAACACCTGTACTCTTGCTCATTCGTGCATAAACTCCGCCTGCAGAACTGCTGACCGTGCACCACAGAATGGTGCGGAAAACAAAACCATTCGGTGAGAAGCTGTTCTGTGGGTGGAAATGCCTTGTTGATGAGAGAGCTCAGGATAGAACGGCCAGACTAGTCCGAGCTGACCGGAAGTCCACGGTGACTCCCACAATTCAC